CGATGACCTGATCCTCTCCTGCTGCCTGCACTACTGCAAAGACAAGGCTAAGGATTACATGCCCACCAGCAAAGGTACAGCTAACCCTCGTCTTGGGCTATCTGTCCCTCTGCCCTACTTTATCCTACCCATCCACAGTTCCTAAGAAGCGGCCCTCTACTTGACTTTGGCCCTAGAAGTCCATACGGGGGGCCTCTACAAGCCTGAGGCCATCTTGTCCACCCTCCCTGAGTTAGACCTCCTGCCATAGCTTCCATGTCCCCAAAGAATGTCAGGTGATCTGGAGCCAGCTAGGAATGAGCCTTTCTAGCCCAGGAGGCCCTGCTCTAGGCAATGAGCTTTCCTACTCAGTCTGTATCCATTTCCTTTCTTGCGTCCTCAGTGAGTTCCTTCTGACAACAAGAATGTCTTTCTGATTCAGTATACCTTCTTCAGGCTGTGGTTTCCTGAGTCCAGCCCTCCACAGCCCTAAGGAGTAGAGAGCCTCTAGTGAGCACACTCTTTCTTGGCCGTGCTCACCTCTCTATCCATGTCAGGGTATCTCTTGAAAGTCAGCCTGTCCCAGGCCTGGGGTAGAGGTTCTCAGCCAGGAATAGGCCTTTCTTCCTGATCTCTATTGCAGTGGGCTGTAGCATTTTACAGGCTAACTGGAGATGGAGGCAAGGGAGAGCTTAAAGACTGAGCCCCATAGCTGAGTTTTAAAATGTTTCAGTGAGCAGAATTGTACCCCTGGGCCACCCTAGAACTCTCAAGTGTCTGACCGCCTCAACCCTGAGTGTCCTGCACAGCCCCACGGGGCCAGTGACATGCAGATTTTGCAACTGATTCCCAAGACTCTGACATGTCTTCTTGTGGAAGGGAACCCTGGCCCCGTCCTCGCACAGTCACATGCTGAACGAGTAATCCTCATCAGCGGGTCTCTGTTGACACCTGTGTAGGCTCACGATTTTGTTTTTCCGTGTTGCTCCTCTAGCTCCTGTCTATGCCTCAGCCGTGGCTTGCTGGCTAACGGAAGAGTTGTCCTCTCCATGTTCCTTCCCTCACGTTAGCACAGCCCTCGCTGGTGCTTGTGTATCTATACCAGGAGCTAGTCAGGATCCAGCACACAGGGTCCTGTCACATGTGCTCTCCCTGAGGGCCAGACCTGGAATGTTCAACTGACAAATTAGGCTCCTGTCTGAGCCAAACAGAGGAGCTTGTGCTCTGCCCGAGGGCAGCATCTGAGGGGGAAGCAGGGTTGCAGAGGTCCTGCGGAGAAGTGTGGCTCCAGTGATCCTCAGCCACCAAACTGCTTTGTTCTTAGCCCAGATGCGTTTAGACGTGGGCTCTACAGGTCTCGCTACTTCTCCCCCACCCAAATCTCCCCCAAACAGCTTACAGAAACCCACTGCCATCCTGGGACCGCTTCTATCAAAATTACATCAGCAACGGCTGGTGTAATCAAACCCCATTTGTCAGTGTGAATTCTTAGCAGATTAACTTGTCAGATTCACAGAGAAACCGTCACCAAATGTTTATGTGTAAACGATGTTGAATTTTAAAATCATGTGGATTATGGCGGATGGGGCCTGACAAGATGACAGTCTCTGGTTTCTAACAAAGTAAAGTTACCAGTGTCAAAACAGAGGATGTTTATTGTTAAAAATGTCTCAAAGTATCCACAGAAACCCCTGCAGACCCCTGCCAGCAATGCTGGACCTTTGTTGGCTGACCTAAGGCCTAGGACTCTTCTGGTCTGAGGCCCAGGGCAGGAATAGTGGAGTTGCAGACAAACCCAGACAGCAGCTGGGAGCCCCCATGTAGCACCCCGCACCACTACCCACCGCACACTCACATTCCAGGCCTTAATCACCAGCCACGTTCTTCACCCTCTACACACAGCCCTCTCCTGCCTTCTCTCCCTTTCCTCAGCACCGTCGGCCCCATGAGCCTCTCCCTCTTCATCCCCAAATTCCTCCCTAGGCTGAAAGCCAATTCTCAGCCTCCCTGCCTGGAACTGGCAAGCCCAGAACTCCTCAGGTCAGACATGGATGTTTGCAGCCCCCAGCCCGCCAGCCCTAGCAGCCCCAAACACCATGGGACATTTCCTGTGCCTTTGCCCTCTGCCAGGCCTTTCCTAGGAAATGCTGGGCAGGGTTGAAGAGAGGACCTGCCACCCAAGCAGGCATGCCCAGGGCTTGGAGTGTCACATGAGTGATTGCTGGGCCCCACTTTAAACTCTCTCCTGTACACCAGTCAGACAGGGAAACATTTTTGTAAAAGTTATCTAAAAGGATGAAGGCTTGAGTTCCAGGCCAGCCTGGTCTACAGAGCAAGTTTCAGAACAGCCAGAGCTGCAGAGAGAAACCCTGTCTCAGGGAGAAAAAAAAAAAAAAAGATGAAGGCTTATCTGTACTGGTACAGAAGTGTGTAAAATTTGAGTAAAGAAAGTGTGGCTAATATAGTCAAAGTGTTACAGGGAATCTGTACATACGCCAGTGAGTGTATTTACAAAAGTGCATAAGGAAATCGAGAAGGCACAGAGCTACCTAGAGCCTGAGACAGCAAGGACAGTTCTGCCTCTGCTTTTCTTTTGCCCTCTGTACTGTCGGGTGTACATAGATCACTTGTTTAATAGGTCCATTGGCCAGAGCTCCAAGGCCCCTTTAGCACAGCCTCTGCTGAGAGCGCCCTGGAGCTACCCCTTCCCCACATCTGTAGACTCTGTTTCTATTTTCTATTCATCTTTGGATACCTAAAACATTTAACACGCACCCCATCCTTAGAAGGACAGAATGTGTTGGGGGTGGGTAGTCACGAGAATCTAGGGCCAGCAGTATAGTTAGGAGTCAGTGGCAAAAGGCTGCTTCGTATTAGTTCGGAGTGCTGGAAGACATGTCTGTGGATGCCAACAGTTTGAGTACTCTGAGGCACTAGGCACAGGAGTCCTGGGAGGGAGGGACGTTCACAGCAGCAGCATAGAGCATGTCTAGCTCGACCCTCCCCATCAGGGGAGTGGTGCTCTGAGTCTGGGCAAAGGAAGGGACTTGCCCCACCAGGACCATACCCCCCAGGACAACAGATGGCATTTGACACTTCTGTCCTCAGCGGATCCTGTCTTCTTTCTGTGCCAACAGAGGAACCGATCCGCCTGCTGCGGGAGGTGGTGCTGCTGACTGATGATCGGAACTTGCGTGTAAAGGCACTGACAAGGAATGTGCCTGTGAGGGACATCCCAGCCTTCCTTACGTGGGCCCAGGTGGGCTGAGGGGGCCACACTGGGGCCCACCCCCATGGAACCATTCCTGAGAGGCCACCAGGCACCCAGTGTATCACGGAAGATGTCCACGTGCCTGAGCTACCAATCCACCCAGACAATAAACCATCCTCTTCCAACCTCACGCCGTGGCCGTGCTGTGGGGGAGCCGCTCCTCACAGAGCCCCTCCCAAGGGTCAGGCAGAAGCTGCTGGGACCCTCCTGGGCTGCCAAGATTTAGCAGGGAGGTGACTGGCTACAGTGACAACAGGTGGACAAGCCAGATAGGCCACCAAGCTCCCAGCCTTTCTTCTTCTTGTCTGGTTCCAGGGCTGGAGGGAGGCCTACTCACCCTGGGGACCCGGCCACTCTTTAGTGGCAATGGGCAGGTTCTAGAGTTTCTATCAGATGCAAGCAAAATGATAGACCCCTCAGTCTGCAGAATCTCTGTCATGAATGTCGGAGAGGCTTTGGCTGTCAGGAGTGCCCAGGTGTCTCCATCTCCCTGAGGCCTCCATCCCTATGGACCCACGCTGAAATCTGTCTCCAACAGCAGCTCTAGCCCTACGAGTGTATACGCACACGCGAGCACACACACACACACAAACACACACAAACACACACACTTCTCTTCCTGTCCGAATCAGTCTTTGCCCTTGCACTTTGCCCTTGTTTTTCCCTTGGGCAGTCATGGGCCTAGAGGGAAGGGACATCTGTTCTTGGGCCCATGCTTCCGGTGCAGCCTTCCACCTCATCTGCTCCCATCCTTAGCCTTCCTTTCACTCTCTTGGGGAAATTTCCTCAGACTTCCTGTTCCTTCTTTGCCTGTCTTCCCTTTCTAGTTGGCCCCTTTCATCACCCCAAGGTCCCTCAACTTCCTCACCTCAGTTCCTTGTGGGGCTTCTCATTCTGAATCTTAAACCCCTACCACCTGTGACAGGAACCAAACAAAGCTTTCCCAGCTGTCCTTCCTTCCTTCCTTCCTTCCTTCCCAGCTCCTCCTCTGGAGGAGCCTCCAAACTGGTAGAGCCAAACCCAAAGGTAGTGGCAGCTAATGCCGGGGTGTTGAGCCAGCTTCTGGCTTTGTCCTCTACTTCTCTACTTCTCTGGTTAGAAGAGGAGACATGGAGGTGGGGGGGTGCCGGGGAGGGGGGGGCTTAGCTCTTTAGGGTTTGGTTTTTTTGGGGGTTTTTTTGTTTTTCTCTGCCTCTGTTCACAGCCTCATTTGGAGGCTCCCTCCCAGGAATGAACTCCTTCAGTCCAGCACAGAGGTAAAGGAGGACTGAGAAGGCAGTCTGAGGTGGGGCAGGGGTCAGTCTCCATAGGACCACAGAGCCTACTGTGGCCCACTATCCCACCCCTGGGGTTTGGCTGAGTGCTTCAAGGGTACTCTGGCCTCTTCAGGCTCAGGATCCTACCGGGAGAGGGCTGTGCAGGAGAGCCCAGGACAGTGGTTTGGGGGCACAGGTGCTCAGAGCTCAGGAGACCTGCTCTGAGTTGTAAGGCCTAGGCTACTCCCTTTCCCTCCTGGCTGTGGAGGCCGCCGGCTGGGCGTGTGGGGGAGCGGGGAGGAACACCTTTCTTCTTTCTGTCCCATTTGAAACCCTGGTTTTGTTTCCTTAATAAATTTTTAGTTATGAAACATAATTGGCCTCCTGCTGATCTATTTCGGGACTGGGGAAGGGGGCAGGTTCAAGCCCGTACACCTGTGTCGGGGCCCTGCCACCCACCCTGGGGTGGGTCAGAAGAGAGCCACAGGATGAGGGACCTTGGTTACTGCTTTATTGCTGTTTGGTTGAGTATAGAAAATGGAAGCGGCTCTGGAAGAGCCTGTGTACAGACAGGGAATATACAAAAGGGACAGACGGGAACCAAGGAGACCTGGCCCCAGCCCAGCTAAGGCTAGGCTCGGGATAGGGGCCGCCTGGGGCGCATGCAATAAATATGGTCGGGGCCCCAGGGAGAGGAGGGGGACACCTCGGAAGAGGAGACAGGTGGGCCAGGGCTGTCATCCCTGGCTCCAGAGCTGCCCACCTTGGTGGTGAGGAAGGGAAAGGTTGGCCCTGGGGCTAGTGCCACTTGTGCAAAATGAGGAACTTCACATTATCAGTCCCGGGCTGGGCAGGAGCGGGGGGCGGGGAGGCCCTCCGGCCGGCTCAATCCCCTCCCCTCTCCCCAACTGTGCCCAACGCTCCGACCCCAGCGGGGAGATTCACAGTGAGAATGGGTGTGGTCGCAAGGGCCGGAGGTAGGGCTGGGAGCGTCCGAAAAATGCCACTCCTCCCCCCAAGAGCAGCACGGAGCCGGGGAAGGGGGCTAACGAACCTCAGGGGGAGGCAGGGTTCTCCTTTGGTCAAAGCTGATATCAAAAATATAAATCTCCCGTCCCCTATCCCACCCCCGTCCCGGGGTTTCCCCCCACTGGCTCCCCCGGGCTAAGGCACGAAACAGTGAGGCCAGGTGAGGCGTAGAACGATGGGGCCACCACTGCGGCGCTGCCGCTGCCACTGCCTGTCGCCGCCGGGCAGCCCCGGGCGCACCGGCGCGGGGCCCTCTAGGTCGGGGAGAAGCGGTCGATGGTCCGGCCGTCAGGTCCGGCGGCCAGGTGCGCGCTCTGGCTCAGCACCTCCGCCGCCTTGTCCGGGCTGAGCCCCAGCTCGGCGGTGAACTTGGCCAGCGGGTAGAGGCTCTCGAGCGCCACCTTGGGGTCGTGCAGGAAGTGCGTGGTCTGCGCCAGCAGCTCGGCCGCAGCTGCCTTGTCCTGCTGCTTCAGGCTCAGCTGTTCCGCCGTGAGGCGGGCCACGGCGAAGACGCCCTCCGGGAAGTCGAGCTTGCCCTTGCCGTCGGGGCCGGGGACGCCCGGGAGTGCCCCGAGGCCCGCCAGCGCCCCGGCCGCGCCGGCCGCGCCCCCCACGGCGTGCATCTTCATGTGACTGATGAGGTTGCGCTGCTGGGCGAACTTGCCCCCGCACACCTGGCACTCGTAGGGCTTCTCCCCCGAGTGGATGCGCATGTGCTCCGTGAGGCGGTACTGGCGGGTGAAGCGCATGCCGCACGCGTCGCAGGCGAAGGGCTTCAGGCCTAGGTGGCTGCGCATGTGGCGCGTCATGGTCCCGCGCTGCGTGAACTTCTTCCCGCAGATGGTGCACGGGTAGGGCCGCGTGAGCCAGTGCGTCTTCTCGTGCTGCCTCAGCGTGGCCGGGTCCTTGTAGCTCTTGTCGCAGGACGCGCAGCGGTAGGGCCGCAGCAGTTCTCCCAGGCCGCCCGGCGCCCCGGCCACCTTGTCCGCCCCGCCGCCGAAGGGGGGCCCGAGGCCGGCGGCGCCCGCGGCCACCTCGGCGGCCTCGGCCCTGCCGTACAGCGCCTCCTCCTCCTCCACATGAGCCTCCACGTGCGCGTTGAGCTGCTCGGAGCTGGGGAAGCCCTTGCCACAGGGGATGCACACGTAGAGGTTGTCGCCGAAGCTCTCGGGCTCGCCGTAGGCCAGGTGCGGGCACGGGAAGCCCTCCAGGTGGCCGCCGGGCGGGCTGGGGTCCTCGCTGCTGCCGGTCTCCTCGCTGCTGCTCTTGTAGTCGTCGCCGTCGGCGCCCGCGCTCGGGCCGTCCAGGCTGGCCGGGTAGCGCGGCGGGGGCACGAGGCCGAGCGGGGGGCCCCCGGGGGAGGCGGCCGGGTCCCCGCCGCGCTCCTCCAGGCGCTCGCCCGGGGAGCCCCGGTCCCGGACCAGTTCGTCGCCGTAGCTGCCCAAGCCCGGCTCGTGCTTCATCCAGCGGTAGAGGAGGCTGGGGCCGTCGGGGCGGCCGGGGGGCTCGGGTCCCGGGCTGCCGCCGCTCCCCCGGAACGGGTCCGGGGTGGGCGCGGCCTCCTCCAGCTTCTGGAAGGGCAGGGGCGGCAGCGGCGGCAGGGCGAGCGGCGGCTCCTTGTAGACGGCGGGGCCCGCGCCGGGAGGGCTGTCGGGGCGCGGGGGCAGGTCGCGCTCGGCCAGCGCCCGCTCGGGTCCGGAGGGGCCGGGCGGGCTCTTCTTGGACAGGTCCAGGCCGCAGAGCGGGGAGCAGCGGCGCTC